CCGCCCGCCGCGGGGCACGCTGGGAGATGTAGGCGGGCCCGAGCCGTCGCAGTTCCGCCTCCCCGCCGGGCGGCTGCCGCCTCCGCCCGGTCTGCGGCGCAGAGCGCCCGGCACCGGAGGGAGCCCCCGGGCAGCGGAGGGAGCCCGCGGAGGAGCCCGCTTAGCGCCAACCGCGCACGGCGCCGGGGGAGCCCCGCGAGCCGCCTCCCTGGGCCGCGGACTACAGCTCCCAGAGTGCCCCGCGCCGCGCCCGTAGGGGAAGTGCACCGCCGAGGCTATAAGGCCGCCGCGCCTGCTTAAAGGGGCCGCGTCCTGCAGGAGGAGGTGAGGGGGGGCCCGGCCTGGGGGACCCGGTGCCGTCGAGGGGACCCGGTGCCGTGGGCGCCACCTGCGGGCGGGGAGGCGGCGGCCGCCCCGGAACAGCCCCGGGGCCGGGGGCCGCTCGGCTGCCCCGTGGGCCGCGCCGGGGCTGGCCCGGGGGGCCGCGCTGCGGGATGGGGGCAGCGCAGCGCGGAGCCCGGCGCGGGAGGGAGCGCCGGGACACGGGGCCCGCACGGGGACAGTCCCCGGGATCGCWGGGATCGCGGCCTGGCGCAGGGATGGGGGCCCTGGGGCCTGGCCGGGGTAGCCGGGGCCGGGCCCCGCGCCCGCCGCAGCCCGTCCGTCCCCCGGGGCCGCCCGCGCACGTCGGGCACGTTTGTGCTCGCGGAAACCGCGCTGCGCCCCGGGCCCGTCCGYGCGGCTCCGCGCGAGGCCCCGTCCCCGCTGCGGGGGTAACGRTCCGGGACCGTCTCTGTGCGGGCTGCCCCGGCGGGGGGACCCAGCCCGTCGAACCGGGCGGCCCCCGCGGCCGTTCGCCCCCTCGTGCCGCGGGGCGCTCGGCGGCGCTTCCCTCGGGACTCGAGGTGAAGCCGCTCCGGGCCTCGAGCCCTGCTCGCTCTGCCGAGGGAACCCGGGCGCCCGGGCGGGGGCTGCCCAGGGAGGAGCCGGGGGAGTCCCCGTGGTGCCGGAGCGGCCCCGGAGCTGCTGGACACCGGAGCCGCTGGTAGGAAGGAGCGTCGGGAGCCGCCGGGAGCGGGAGCTCCGGCCTGCGGAGGAGGTGTCGAGTCAGCCGGGCGGATAACAGACAAGGGGGGGAAGGTAAAAACGGCCGTTGCGGCTGTCACACCGGCCGGGCGCCGGGAGCTGCTCCCGTTCCCGGGCCRCGGGAGCTCCCCGTATCCATCGGGAGCAGCGGTCCGCCCCGCGCGCCCTCCCACCCGGCAGGCACCGGCAGCCCCAAAACGCCGAGCGGCCAACGGGAGGAAGGRCCGGCCGGGCGCGCAGCCGCGGCCGAAGCAAAGCCTCCAAGAGATTTGGATCCTTCCAAGGGATTTGGCACCGCTGTTCAAGGCGAATTCAAAGCTGCCTTCTCCGTTTGGTTTAAGTTCATTTGTCAAGTTAAGATCAATTAACTCCAAATAAAGCCTAAATGAGATTACGCGTTGCCTGGTACGACGCTCAGCGGACGTACCGGGAAGAGAGGCGGGCGCTGCTTCCCGGGCTGCCCGTTAAAGGGTAACGGAGACCTCGGGATGCGCCCGGGCCCCGTGCCCGTGTCCTGGTGCAAAGTGCTGGGCTCCGCTCCGCCGAGCGGCCTCCCCCCAGCTGGCAAAATACATTTCTCTTCCCRGCACTTCCCCACCATCCCCTTAGGCAATTAGTGCCTCTGTCCTTTCTTTTGGTTCCCTCGTTCCCTGCCTCCCTCCTGCATTTTGAACCCCAGCAGGGCTGTTGTGCAGAGCGAGGGGCTCTGGAAGCCCCAGGCAGAGCGCCCCGCGCTGCGTTCCTGGTGCTGGGGGTTCTGCGGCCGCCGCCGCTCCCGCCACGGGGCGGTGCCGAACGGGAATCCCTCGCGCAGCAGCCGGGAAGGGCACAGGGATGCGGCAGCCGTTGGCCGTGGGAACTGGGCATTTCCCAGTAGGAATCTCTCCGTGGGGAGCGGGGCTGGGGCGGAAAGGGCGGCTCCGGCTGCGTTCCCCAGCGCAGCCAAGGGCCCCGGTGTCTCGGGGCACACGGGAGGTCGGTGCAGGTGCCGTCCGTGAGGAGAGAGGGCTCGGCAGCTCCTCGCCTGCTGGTGCCGTCCCGGCTGCGCCGCAGCAGGCCTGGCCGGGGTGCTGGGGACACGGGGCACCCTCCTGACTGGGTGCTGGGCTTTGTTTCTCTCACTAATCCCTTTTTCCTTCCTTCTGTGCAGATGTTTCCCTCTGGGCTCCGCCTCTAGGATGTTGGAGAACCGGGAAGAAGTAAGACCCGTTTTGGCAGCGGGTTCGTGGCTGCCCGGGGTGGGGGCTTGGTGGCGACCCTGGGGCTGCCGGGCAGGGTGAGCCGSGCGGTGGGGCGCCCGGGTGGCGCCCGCCCGCGCTCACGCTGTGTCTGTGCGGCCAGGAGCTGACCACGGTGCGGGTGCAGGACCCGCGGGTGCAGAACGAGGGCTCCTGGAACTCCTACGTGGACTATAAAATCTTCCTGCACGTGAGTGGGCGCCGGCAGGCGGGTGACCGCGGGGCTCGCTCGCACGGCTCTCCCGAGCGGGGCTGTCCGGCCGTGCCAGCCTGTGCCTCAAGCTCTGTGCTTTGGTTATTTTTTTCCAGACCAACAGCAAGGCATTTACTGCCAAGACCTCATGCGTGCGGCGCCGCTACCGTGAATTCGTGTGGCTGCGGAAGCAGCTCCAGAAGAACGCGGGCTTGGTGTAAGCATCGCCCGGGCCCCCTTCTGCCTCCCCCTGCAGCTGTGCCCTGTGTTCCCAGTTGTCCGGAGATCCCACGGGCTGGGAAGAGGCAGAAACTGATTATCTAGGAAAACTGGATCTCCTGGGCTCCAGCTTTCCACRAAACAGGGTCGTGGTCATGCTGCGGTGCCCCCCATGTCTCACATGTCTCCTTGCTGGGACGTTGGGATGACCCTGACCCGCTGCTCGTGCTCGGTTCCTGCAGGCCTGTCCCAGAGCTGCCTGGAAAATCCACCTTCTTTGTGGGCAGCACAGATGAGTTCATTGAGAAGCGGAGACAGGGGCTGCAGCAGTTCCTGGAGAAGTGAGTAAGGGGCTTGAATGCCCCTTGTTGGGGCTGCATGGGTGACAGGACGGCCCGCTCTGCCCTGCTTTGCAGGTGCTGCCTCTAAGCTGGAGACAGAGCAGCTGAAGGTCCCCGYGGCTGCGGGGGCCCGTGAGCTGCTGGGTGGGCAGGACCCCCCGCCACCCGTGTGCCCTGTGCTGCCGGGGCCCCGCGTCACCCCGGCCTCGCTCTGTGTGTGCAGGGTCGTGCAGAACGTGGTGCTGCTCTCCGACAGCCGCCTGCACCTCTTCCTGCAGAGCCAGCTGCCGGTGCCCGAGATGGAGGCGTGCGTGCAGGGCCGGGGCGCGCTGACCGTCACCGAGGCCATCCTGCACTACGCCATGTCCCAGTGCGCCTGGGCGCAGCAGGGCGARCGCCGCCCCTCGCTGCCGCCGCCCGCGGAGCCGCGCGCCAGGTAAGGGAGCGGCCCGAGGGACGGCCGGGCGCCTGGCGCTCCGCGCCGCTCGGGGCTGCCTCTCACAGCCCCAGCCTGGCCCGCAACGGCTGCTGTCTGTGCCAGGGAGTTCCGGCAAGAGGGAACAGTCCTCGCTGTGAAATGAGGAGCTGCGGGGCTTTCTAGGCACCCCTGAACCTTTTCTGAGCCRCTTGTCCCATCCCTGCTGCAGGCATTGAGGGGAATGAGGTGGAGCAGCGTCCCCCAGGCCCGCGCGCTGACCAGGCAGCGTTGCAGGGCCTGGGCGAAGGGAGACGGACGTCTCCGGCCGTCACCAAGGGCCTCTTGCATCACGAGGGTGTCTGACCCGCTGTGGCCTTGGCCAGAGCTCAGCAGAGGGGAGCTCCAGTCCCGCTTAAGAAGAACTTAAGCTGAGATTTAGAGGAGGAGTCTTTGGATGCTTTCCTCCCTTAATCTCTGGGGAATGAGGAGTCTTTGGAGGCTTTTGGAGCTCAGGCTTCCTGCACATCTTGCCTCGCTCCTCATGCCACGAGCAGCCTGTGCGATTCCTGGCGCTCGTCGCAGAGGTTGCTGCCCGCCCAGGCCTCCCCCAGGCCCGTCCCGGGGCGCTGCGGGGCGGCTGCTCCAGGCAGCTGGTCAAGGGGGTTGAACACTTGGGGTGGGAAGGGGCAGGACGAGGGAGAAGGTCCCGAAGGCGCCGCAGCTCCTGCGAGGAGCCCAGCYGCGGCCCAGCTGGGGCCGGCTCCCTCCAGCGCTGGTGGCCGTCGGGGCCCTGTCCCTTCCTTGCATCCTGCTCCCTCCTGACCCGTTTCTCTCTGCAGCGGCGCCGGCGCGGGCAGCTCGCAGCGGCCGAGCTGCCTCGAGCCCTTCCCTCCCTGGAGCGACTTCGGCATGGAGGAGGACGCCCGCTCCGAGAGTCCGGAGGCGCCGGCGGAGCGCGAGACGCAGTGAGCGGCTCCGGCGACGGCGCCTGCCCCGCTGGCACCGCTGTGCCCGGGGGTGACTGAGCCGGGCGGCATCCAGGGCCACGGGGCTGGGCAGCGTCCCGGGCTGCGGGGCTTCCTCCCTGCCCGCTCCGCACTGTCCCTGGTGTCCCCRTAGCTCTTCAGAGAAGGGCTCTGGTGGGTAGTGGACCCTGGGGGTGTTGTCCTCGTGGTGTTTGCTCTCCGATGGGAGCGAGGAGGAGGGTTCCTCCTGTTCCTGGCCTGGCCCTCGCCCTGCACGGGGCTGCGGCTCCATGGCTCCCGAGGGGAGAGTTGGGCCCCATGCRGAGCCGCAGAGGCTGCTGCTCAGCTGCCGCCTCCCGAGTTCCCTGAGCTCTGTTTCCCATTGGAACGCGGGCAGCAGAGCCCCGTTTCCCTGCTAGGAGCCAGGCCGGGCTCCCGTGGAGGCGGCGTCTCGGCTGCGGCCCCCGTGCCGGGGCAGACACCGGCGCCGGCGCAGCCGGGATGGACGGGGACGYGCTGCCCTGGGGGCTCTTGCCTGGCCTCTCCTGGCTGCTGGGAGGCCGGCGCTTGGAGGGTGGCAGCGGGGAGGCCGCTTCCAGCTGGGATCCTGCGGGAGAGCAAAGGGCTCCCCACACCGTGGTGGTTGTGCACAGCTGGGAACGGGGTGAGGGCGAGGGACGGGGATGTAGTTTGTTAGGAGAGAAGTAGTTTGTTAGGAGAGAAGGAGCGTGGAGCCTCCCTGGCGTCGGGCGGGGGCTCCGCTCGCTCCCTGCTGCCCCGAGCACGGGGAGGGCAGAGCCGCCCGGCTCAGGCTGGAAATAAAAACCAAGTAGAAGAGCCGTGGCGGTGCTGGCAGCGCGTGCGCGGGAGCGGAGCCGAGCGCGGCCCCTTATTGCGCCTCTCCCCCTGGGGGAGAGGGGATCCCTGAGCCCCGGGGGTGGGATGGGGCTGCGGGGTCCCACTGTGTCCCCAGAGCCCTCCCTGCAGCAGGAGCCGGGTCGGGGCTCTGGGCCCGGGGGCTGCGGCCCCCTGCCCGGCCCGGCTGCCGTGAGCAGTTACCACCATCTAGCGGCCCTTCTTCCAAGTGCCGCTGCAGCGGGATGCGCCCAGGCTGTCCCCGCTCCAGCGGGATGCGCCGATGCCATCCCTGCTCCGGCAGCCCTGGAGCAGAGTGTCCTGCAGCTCCGAGCGCCGCTCCGGGCACCCCCTGCTCGGGCTCCAAGCCCAGAGGTGACTCCAGACAGGGTGCGAGGGCAGAGCGCTTTATTCCGAGCGCTTTATTCCGGGTGCTCTCCGTGGCCGAGGCCGCTGCAGCACCAAGGCCGAAGTGCAGCCCGCAGGAGCCCTCGCGGCCGGTCCCGGGGCCGCTCCGTGATGGTGATGGGACACGGGGCTGGGAAGGTCGGTGCAGCATCTCAGTCCAACTGGGAGCAGCAGGAAGCATCTGGATTTGGGGGGAAGAGACAGGGGTGACAGTGGGAATGGGATGCGGAGAGGGAGGTTGGGATCAATGCACGGAGGGAGGGCGGACGTGGAGGCCTCCGCGCAGCCCCTTGGCTTCCCCATCTCCCCCAAGACCCTCCTCCCTAACAGGCTGTTCAGGAGAAAAACCTTGTGAACGCAGCACGTGGCCTCAGCCCGTGTCACCCCTCGTGACATGAGACATTCGTGGGCCCACGCAGCCAACTGCGCTGTCTTTGGCACAGCTTTCTCCCATGGATCTTGAAGGAGATGGACCCCAGGCCAGGCCACTTTGTGCCCAGGACACTGGGGAACAGCCCTGTCCCCTGGGAGCGCCCAAGGCCACCCGTGTCCCCACCCCGTGTCACCGACACCCCCTGGACACGGCGGCCCTTGCCAGGCCACCCGCCTCGTGCCGCAGCCGCCGCTCCCGGCCTCGCTCCCGTGTAAAGCGGAGGCCAGAAGATGGAGCCAAAGACAGCGCTGGTGGCGCCGGCACCCGGAGCCGCCGGCACCCGGAGCCGCCGGCACTGCGCGGGAGCAGCCCCGGCCCCGCCGCCCGCCCGGCCCCGCGCTCACCGGACGGCGCCCGGTGCTCAGCGCCCCTCCAGCTCGTAGGCGGCCACCAGGTAGTCCTTGGGGACGATGCCCACGGCGCTGTCGAGCTCACCGACCCACCAGCCRTACACGTTGTACTCCTGGGGAGACAGGCGGCAAGGCCGGTGCCGAGGGCGGCCCCAGGGCGCCAGCCGGGCCCTGGCGCCGGCCTGCAGGGATGTCGACCCTCCGCGCGCCCCGGGCCCCGCGTGCGGAGCGGTAACATCCCCGGGAAAGCCGCGGATCCGGCCGCATGTCCCCCGGCACCACAACCAACACCCCGCGAGCTCGTCGCCTGCTGCAGCCGCAGGGGATGGCGCAGGAGCCGCAGGAGGCTGCAGCCGCGTGGGCAGCGGTGCCCATGCGCCCGGGGCCGAACTGCCGCCGCAGGGGGGACGGCGGCTCCGTCACCCACCCCAGTGCAGCCCCTTCCCCATGAACCTGCCCCTTGCTGCTGCGGGAGCCGGGCGCTGGGTGCCCCTGGGCGGCTGAAGCCCGCGGCACGGCCCCCGGGCACCGCGGCAGCCGCCGGCTCCCGCCACCGCGGCCCGAGCACCAGCCGCTCTTTTAAAATAATTTCTGCCGTGATGAATTGCCGGGCAGGCCGCGCTCGCTCCTAATCAAAGGGAGGGAAATGCAAATGAGAGCCAGCCGAGAACTCGCGGCACCGAGCGTTTATTTCACCGCACAGTGCCAAAAAGAATTAAAACAACATTAAAATCCCAGCAATAATGTTTAAGTCCTCGTTTCCAAGTGCCAAATTGCACCACTCTGGATCATACAGATGTTCGTTAATTATGCTAATTTTTATTAAACTATTAAAACGAGGAGTGCACTGGCACAGCGAGGCAGGGCCCAGTGCAGGGTGAACTCTGCTCCCGTCTGGAGCTGCTCATCTGCATCCCGCYAGCGCCGGGCGGGAGGGTTTGCAGGGGCAGGAGACGAGGGCGTTCGAGGCCGCTTTTCCTGGAATCTGCCTAATTAGGCCCTAATGGGGCCCATGCGCTCGCTACCTGCGCGGATGGGGCTGGGGGGAGGTAATTTAGCCCCGGCTTTGCGGAGGGGCTGGCAAAGCTGCTGATTGGGAAGGGAATTGCGGTGGCGAGGCAGGAGCTGCAGGGAGAGGGGCACTGCAGGGCAGCCCTGGCACCGGGACCCCGCGCGCTGCCCGGGGGGCTGGGGGGACCGGCCGCTGGCACCGCGGGCCGGGCCGGCCCCGCKGGGCACCCCGGGGAGCAGCCGCCCRTTCCCGGCATCGCGGCTCTCCCGGCAGGCTGGCGCGCAGCCGGGCAGGGATTCATGCTGCTAATCCCTGTGGACAAGGGAGGAGGAGAGCGGGGAAAGGAACAACAGGCGGAGAGCAAACAACGARCGGGGGGAAGGAACAACCAGACCAGCAAACAACCACCACCCCCTCCCGAAACCGGCCTTGAATGCGCTGCAAAAAGCCCAGAAAGGACAAAAGCCCCCGGCCCGGGCACGTTTCGTGGCGTGAATTGGCCCCAGGCGCATTGGGCGCCGCTGCGGGCCCTCCCGGCTCCCTCCGCGGTGCCAGGGCACCAGCGCCCGCAGGTCCCGCCACACGCGGCTGCGCTTCCCTCCCCACCACTGCCGTCGGAGCCGCCTCCTGCGGGGYGGCTCCTTCCCGGCCCGTCACCCACCGTGTCCGTCCTCACCGCCCGGGCACCCTGCGCCCCCCAGCAGTGCCCGCAGCTGGGGAGAACCCGGGTCCTCGAGGGTCGGGAAGCTGGTACCCCCCATCCGGGCGCTGTCCCCATCCACCCGGAGCCGGGCACGGAGCCCTGGGCACCTCCTCCTGGCCGCAAGTGCCAGCGGGGCCTTCCCAAAGGGACACGTCCCTCCGTGTCCCGCACCCGTGTGGCCCCGCGAGCTCGGCYGCCCCTTGGGGACCCCAGCGTGGCACCGCCGGCCTCTCCGGGGAGCTCCCACCACCGCCTTGAACCCGGGCGGAAGGACAGGGACCCCCAAGCGCCTTCCCGGGCTGGGATCTCCCTCCAGGGCGGCCCCTGCCCCATTCCCGGCTCCCGAGCCCTGCGTGCCGCCGCTCCCGGCCCTCGTAAAGCGCCCGGTCCTTCTCCGGGAGCGCCATCCATCACCCCCGCGCACAGAAGATCGATGACGCCCTGATGGATGCCCAAGGAAAAGCCAATCACTCAGGGACTTATCGGTTTATGATTGCTCGGCCCCATTATTAGTGCTTGTGTGTCACGCGTTATTGTTAGGAAAATGGAGGAATCTCATTGCGGGATGAGGGATGGTGGGCGCGCGCGGGGTCGCCTGACACCGGGGACGTTCATTGCRGGGCAGCCATACATCTACCTGCCTCCACGGGCGCTCCGCCTGCCGGGATGCAGGGAGCCGGGCCCCGCGGCCRGCGGATGCCCTCGGGAACGCTGCGGTGTAGCTGGGCTCCCAGCTCGGGGCACCGAAGGGTTTTCTCGGTGAAGGAGTGACCGAGGTGACACCCTGCGCATCGCTCGTGGGCTTCCCCCTGTGCCACCATTGCAGATACCTACGAAAATCCCTATGGAAATAAGGGATTTGGAGAGCTCCCAACCCTGTGGATCTYGGCAGCTGTGAGGAGCTGGAGCAGCACAGGATGGGTGTCCAGGAGAGCCTCGGATCCTTCCTGCTGCTCCCATCCCGCAGCCTCCACGCACCCCGTCCCATCCCGTCCCATCCCATCCCATCCCAGCAGACCCCGCACATCCCGTCCCCCCCGGCTGTGCCCAGGGGAGGCCGGAGGGGACGTGCGGAGGGTGCAGGTGCCATCGGGACAGGCAGTAACGGGATGGAGCGCCCAGCTGGGAAAGGCCGGCAGAGAGGAGCAGCTGGGCCCAGGGAGGCTCCGGGACATAAATTCTCAGGTGACCCCGGGCAGAAGGGCCTGACTGGGAGTTTGGGATTCAGCCCGTTGCTAATTTCCCATTAAAATCAGGCAAACAAATGAGTCCAGGTGGCGCTTTGGATGTGGCTGCCCCGCAAGCYGAGCGGGGCTCGAGGGACTCGCCCTGGACCCCTTGGGCCCCTGTGATCCCCGGCAGAGCCCTGGGGCTCCTGGGGTGCTGGGCATGGGACAGAGGGACGGATGGAGGGATGGATAAAGGGACGGATGGAGGGACGGATGGATGGAGGGATAGACGGAGGGATGGATGGAGGGACGGATGGATGGAGGGAGGGATGGATGGAGGACGGCCGGCCGGCGGCGCGGCAGGCGCGCAGCTGGGGCGGCCGTGCCGCAGACAATAGCGGGGCCGCGTGCGCTGCCGCCGCCGGCGCTCGCGCGGAGCCGCCGTATTAATATTTATTCCATAAAGCAGGCGGCTCCCGGCGCCGCGCGGCTCCGGCGYGCTCTGACCGCAGCACCAACCCTCAGGCACCGCAAACACAATTTGGGAACAATGTGACGGAAATGTTTAATCTGCTCAGCCCATCTGTGCTGCGTATTTCTGCAGAGCTCCCTGAGAGAGGCGCCTTCGAATCTCCACATTGCCTTTAATATTCTCCTAAATCACCTCCCCAGCGCACTTCAAGGGCCATTGCTACAATATCACAGGTTCACCGAAAGTGCAGGGCGAAGGGGGGTGCAGGCAGCGCCGGGTGAGGACCGGGGGTGCCGCCGCCTCAGAGATTCTTTATTTTAAAATATTTCCCGCGGATGCTGCTCCCGTGCCCCTCGGACAGGCTAGAAACGGAGGGGAAAAAAAAGCAAAGACAAGCAGAAGGCGAGGGGAATGAGGGAAGTTATTGTGCTGGTGCCGGSAGGCGGCGAGCGGGGCTGCTCGGGAGCAAACAGGCTGCGATGGAGCCAAAGCCATTTCCAAGGTCCGCTCGTGTCCCTGCCGCCGGCTGCAACTCGTGTGCGCGCAGGGCGCCTGCTCCGTGCCTCAGTCTCCCCTCCGCTCCGGGGCTCCCGGAGCCGCCGGCTCCCTCACGAGCCTCATCCCCTGGCACCGGGCCGGGCGCGCGGCTCCGAATTGTGTGCCGTGGGCCACGCGGTGCTGGGCCATGCAATGACATGTCCTGCAGCCATGCCATGCCCTGCCATGCACTGCCATGCTATGCCATCTCATTCCATGGCAATGCCATGCCATGCCATGTTGTGCCATGCTCTGCCGTGCAATGCAACGCTCTGCCGTGCCATGCCATGCAGTGCCAAGCCATGCCATGCCATGCCATGCAAGGCCACTTCATCCATGCCATGCCTTGCAACGCTCTGCCGTGCAATGCCAAGCCATGCCATGCCATGCCAAGCCATGCCATGCCATCCAATGCCATGCCATGCCATCCAATGCCATGCCGCGCCGCGCCATGCCGTGCCACGCGGTCACCGTCCCCGCCGCCCCCCCCCCCGGCGCCCCCCGCGGCTGCGTCACTGCCGCGTTGCCATGGCAACCGCTCGCGGCTGCATTTCCTGCATCCCCGGGGGCGGCGCAGGCGGCTCCACCTGCGCGGCGCCCGGCCCCGCGCGGGGTCACAGCCGGGGCGCCGCAATAAATGAGCGCGGCGCTAATGATGTGTTTGCTGCCTGTTTATGCTCTCCGTGTGTCAGGGGCACTCACATTTAGAGAGCTCATTATGGCTGCAATTAGACTGCACCATTGCTAGATATTTAACTCCTTTTTCTTTTAAATTAGCATTTTAATAACGTTCTTTGAGCAGGGGAAACAAAATGACCATTTTTCACGGACAAACTTCCTAGCTGTAGGTGCAACTTTAATGGCGAAGTTGCAAGGCAGGGAAATAAGCCGAGGTCTGTGCCCGTCCTGCCGGTGCCAAGGGGAGGGCGCAGGAGCAAGGGGAGAGGTTTTTATTTGCTTTATCGCTCACTCAATTTGCCAAATTTGTTCCGCAAATTATTTTCGCCTTTAATGTCCCCGGATTTAAACCCCAGCACCAGCCTTAATGCCCCTGCGCTCACCCAGGTACAGATGGAGCCGTGTGGAAGGAAAGGAGACGGAGGAGAAGAAAGGGAGAGCAAGGGTGGAAGGAGCCGGTGCCCTCGGGATGCCCATGGGAGCTGAACCAGCAAAGCCGGCCCTAAACCACCTGTGTTTTAATCCCAGCTCTTTGGGGCCGCTCCGCAGAGGCCGGCGCGGGGCTGGGAGGGCTCCTGGGGACGGCGAGGAGAGTTACGGCCCCGGCAAACTGGCATTCGATACCCAGGAACGGGCATYTCGCTCCCATCCATCTATTAACGCGTCTCTAATGAAACTAGACCGGACGTGACATTTGGCAACAGAACTGCTTTAAATGTTAGCACATCAATTGGCTTAAATGTTACCCGCGCCTCATGAACCCAGAGATGGGTTTATAATTATCTCCGGCTCTAACGAACAAAGATGCGGCTGGCGGCTCGCGTCGGGCGCTCTCGACGGCACCGCGGATCGGGGGCGTTCAAACACGGCTGCTCAACAGGCTAAAAGCTGCGGGGCGCGCGGGGGCCGCGGGAAGGGCCCTGGTTTCCTTTTTCCTCTGGATTTGGCAAGTTTGGCCGGGTTCCTGGGGGATTTGGCCTTGGTGCCCTTTGGGTTTCACGCTCGGTTTTGCTCTTGTTCCACCTCTTGCAGCTTTAACCCTTCCCCACATTAAACGTTGCCTGCCCCTATGCGCGCACCTATAGGCACGTACGGAGGTATAAACGTATAGAACAGCAGCAGCCTGCGGGCGCTGGGGCTGGCCAAGGACGGGGTTCAGCATCGAGCCTCTTGCTCCAACGCTCATCGCCTTCGCCCAGGCAGAACTTCCCCGGCCCTTTGTGAAATCAAGTGAAATTTCCCCTTCCATTTATGAAATCAAGTGAAATTTCCCCATCCGCTTGCAAAATAATCCAGGCAAATCCCGGGCAACAGAAGCTCGAGCGGGCGGCGCGGGGCACCCGGGGGCTCGTTACTAAATCTGCGTCTCATAAAGGCAGTGCCGACTCCGGCGGAGCTGCCGCTAAAATCCCGGCTTGGGAAAATGGAAGGATTGTCACACTTAAAGACACAAATTTCCCCCCTAATATATTCGAATGGAAACCTCCGAATCCAATAGTACAYGGGCATAGCTAATAAATTCACAATATTTCAGCCTCAACAGCCTACGACGGTTCGTTTTAAAGATTTATGTGGTAAAAAATTACTCAGTGATGAATACAGTTTATTCTGCGCAGTATTGGAGGGGATAAGGAATTAAACTACTGTCTTTAACAGTGAATTTATTATTACCTCTGTCAAAGACGAAGTCTTTAACTGCGCTTATTATAAATTTCAGGGCAAAATAAATGGTCGGAAGACGCATTAAGCCCCCCATGACGTTCGCACCCGCCGGGACGGGCCAAGGGCACGCGGGGTGTGGGGACCCCGTGGCTGCCGGGGCCCATGGGCACCGGAGCCGGGTTGGCACGGGGGGGCAAGGCCGGGGATGGGGGTGCAATGGGGCGGCGGGTTGGGGGGACGGCGGCGGGACGGGGCGGCCGCCTCCGCCACCCCTTTGTCCTCTCCGGCACGGGCGTCCCCTCATCTATAAAAATTACCTGGGAGGAATGAGGCTGCCAGGGCTCGTTCTGGGCGATTGGGCGCGCCGGGGGGGCGCAGCCGCCGGGGGGGCGCAGCCGCCACGAGCGATGGCCCCGGCTCCAGGGTGACCGGCGC